TTTACACCTTCAGGGGCTTCCTCCTACCTTCTAAATTCTTTTGGCCCCTATGTCTCATTGTGAGCATTATTCCTTCTAGAAGGTTCCTCATCCTTTGGACACTCAGGGCAAGCCCTTCCCATAATTTTCTTATCCTCCACCTTCATTGGCGACTCTGGCAGGGTCGTTGGCTGCCTGCCTAGGTAGATCGTCCCAGGAATAATTGGTGTGAAAGGCATGAGAGTTGACCCCAAATTAGGACCCTCTGGGGTGCTTCAGAATTCCTCAGTGCCTGCCTGACCACACACACAATTTCCCTTATGCAGCATAAATCACGAACAGGGTTCTGGTCAATGCTATTCAGTGGAGTTATCATCTAACATGCATTAAAATGCTTATTATTAAAGACAAAAGTGGATGTGTTGACTATGAGAAAAATGCTAAATTCCCTATTAACATGATACCATTATTGAAACCATGAGAAGTGGCTGATGTCCTTCAGAATGGATAGGTTTGCACCATTATTGAAACCATGAGAAGTAATTTGTCCAACAGTTGAATGGACTGCCTCAGAATGTTGTGGATTCTCCTTTACTGCTGATTTTTATGCAGAAGTTAGATGGCCATCTGTCAGAGCTGCTATAGCTGTAGATTTCCTGCACTGGCAGGTGGGTAGATTAAATTACATTTAGGGTCACTTCCAACTCTACAATTCTGTGATCCAATTTCAGAAGGATATGAATGTTAACCAACAGACATAATGTCATTTGTTGTTGTTTAGTCGTTAAGTCATGTCCGACTCTTTGTGACCTCATGGACCAGAGCACGTCAGGCCCTCTTGTCTTCCACTGCCACCCGGAGTTGGGTCAAATTCATGTTGGTAGCGTCAATGACACTGCAAAATCATCTTGTCCTCTGCCGTCCCCTTCTCCTCTTGCCCTCACACTTTCCCAACATCAGGGTCTTTTCCAGGGAGTCTTCTCTTCTCATGAGATGGCCAAAGTATTGGAGCCTCAGCTTCAGGATCTTTCCTTCCAGTGAGCACTCAGGGCTGATGTCCTTCAGAATGGATAGGTTTGTTCTCTTTGCAATCCAGGGGACTCTCAAGAGTCTCCTCCAGCACCACAATTCAAAAGCATCAATTCTTCTGTGGTCGGCCTTTTTTATGATTCAGCTCCCACTTCCATACATCCCTGCTGGAAAACCATAGCTTTGACTATGCAGACCTTTGTCGGCAAGGTGATGTCTCTGCTTTTTAATGTGCTGTCTAGGTGTCTCATCGCTTTCCTCCCAAGAAGCAGGCATCTTTTAATTACGTGGTTGCTGTCACCATCTGCAATGATCATGGAGCCCAAGACAGTAAAATCAGTCACTGCCTCCATATCTTCCCCTTCTATTTGCCAGGAGATGATGGGACCAGTGGCCATGATCTTAGTTTTTTTTTATGTTGAGCTTCAGACCAGTTTTTGCACTCTACTCTTCCACCCTCCTTAAGAGGTTCTTTAATTCCTCCTCACTTTCTGCCATCAGACTGGTATCATCTGCATATCTGAGGTTGTTGATATTTCTTCCGACAATATTAATTCCGCCTTGAGACTCATCCAATCCTGCCTTTTGCATGATAATGTTGTACAATGTTATTCCCCTTACATAACTACACTAAATTATCAGAATTCCCTAGTAACATGTTGATGCAGTAAGAGAAACACATGATTGACTATAGTGACATTCAAGCATCACAGTTTATATAAGCAAGCTATTTTGCCTTGACTATAGGGAAATAAAGTAGTAGGGTAATGGAGAGCTGTAGGTCTATCCCTTTGGAGGAAAATGCTGTTGGACGTAAGAAACAGATGGCTTCAGCTTTAATATTTTCTTTGAAATGTTATAGAAAACATTTTACCAAACATTTTATATAAAATATTTTAGAGACCTCAATCATAAGCGGCTTCTTCAAGGAGAGAGCCATGTGCGTTAAGTGAGTTCTGGAAGTTTTTTTTATTGTATTCCTCTACCACTCCTAATATCCTTCCAACTCAGGCTCACATTCTTTGCTCATTCCTGGACTTGGCCTACTTTATCATGACTGTAATATATGAATTCCCAAGCAACAGCAGCAAGAAGTGAGCTGAGGATGGTTGAGGTACAGACAAAGGTGGCAACACAGCTGGCTTGCCACCAGCCCCTTGGGGTGGTAACTCTTCTGTTCCCCATAGGGCAATTCATTTGTTTACAGTATTTGTCTCTTTAAAATATTTTTTACCTCACCAACAGGATCCAAGGTGGCTTACAGCATTTAAAAACATTTAAGAACAAAACAATGAGTATACAATGTTGGCATACATCATTGAAAGGCAGTATTTCAGCTAAAAACACTTACAGAACTATTTAAAAAGGAACAAACAAAATACCTCTTACAAATTGAAAACACAAGCAATACTAAAAACACAGTCAAAGCAGTGACGCATAACAATCCATGTAAAAAGATCACACTCAGGCAGCCAGTCATTGAAAGAAAAGCTTGCCTGAAGAGAAAGGTCTTCACTTGCTTGTGGAAGGACAACAAAGATGGGGCCAGCCCTAGCCTCCTGTGGGAGGGAGTTCCAAAGTCTTGGAGCAGTGACAGAAAAGGTCCTCTCTTGTGTCCCCATCAAATGCACCTGTGAAGGTGGTGGGATCAAGAGAAAGGCCTCCCCTGATGATCTTAGTACCCAAGCAGGTTCATAATGGGAGAAACAATCTTTGAGGTAGCTTGGGACCAAGTCATTTAGGGCTTTATAGGATAAAACGAATTGAACACATTATTTTAGCTGTGAAGATCTCCAGGGACTCCCTTGTCCTCCCTGTGATTTTTTTTTAAAAAAAACTTCATGTACTCTATGCCTCTATATGTAACATCTCTGTATCTAATTTTGGGAAACTGTGAGTTTTATTTTAGATTGCTTGTGGTATTATAATTGTATGTTTCATTTTCTATTTAATTTTTTTTTAATATTTATGTTAGATTTCCCAGAGAGTCTTTCATTATGAGTGGCATACAAATGCTACATACAGAACATTTTTTAAAATATTAATTTTGGACAGATTACTTTCCTGGTTCAATTTTCCTTCTGTTTGGAACCTGCCTTGTTTCCATTCTTTATTCCATAGCAATGCATTGACTGTTACGCCGCATAGCCCTGCAATAATGCCATCTTAAATTGCTTCACTGGCTGCATTATTCATGCCACCTATGATTCATCCTCACAACTGCTCAGTTTTACATGTATGTCAATAAGAATAATTCTCTGTAGCTATAAATGTCTGTAAGCATGCAAGCAAAGGTTAGCAAAGTGCAATCAAAATGTCTGGGATAAGCAACTGCCTGCAGGAGGCCATCATCTGATTATTTATGGCAAGAAGACCCCACTTTTGTTTGAAGATCTTATTTCTAAAAAAAAGATAAGATATATTTGATGCACGAAAGAAAGCTTGTTAAAATTATGGGCTAGAAACTGTCAAACAATTTTGTACAGGAGAAAGGGAAGCAAGAAGAATTAAACCAGGAAACATGAAACCTCTCAAAAGCCCAAATTCAGTCCCACTAGGGTCACTTTTAGGTGCAGTGCGACTTCCTGTCCCCAGACTACATAGTCCTTATGTGTGGATGCAAGAATTGTTCTAAATCTCAGACCATACTTCCAAGCAACCCTCTTTCGTTCAATCCATTCCTCAATAACTTCACCGTCTAACTGCACCCTAAGTCAACAATTTGTTTAAACCATTTAGAAAACAAAATATTGCTATTGATACTGACCCTTGAAAATTATGGAAAAGTTCATTAGTTCTAACAATGTTTTCAAGGTCATATCCCAATCCGCGTTGCGACAAAGGAAATTATATACTCATATTTAGTCTGTCTGGAAGCATATATTCAAGTTGTGCAACTCTAGCTCAGAGAAGTTGCTCGGGGTTTTTCGTTTGTTTGTTTGTTTGTTTGTTTTCAGGACAGGAGGCAGGAACAGATGATACAGCCCCAAGTCATTGTGCTAACATAGAAGGCTTGTCAGCTCCAGGGCAGAGTTAAAGCTGAGCAGACCACATGACAGTACATCAGTGGAAGGCTTCTGCATAGCTTTGCCTTGCTTCCAAAACAGAGAGAAATATGTTCTTCTCTGCACTGGAGCATTATTACCTGCCTATTTATTTAAGTCATTATAAATATTTATAGAGTGTTTATATTTTAACATTTTACAGCAATGCACAACAAAATAAAACATGTATGCAGCACGCAAGTGCAAGCATAATGTACAAAACACATTATACACAATACCCAAATACATGATGCACAAATTAACAAATATTTATATGATCAATGAGATATATGGTATTTTGGATTATACAGAGAAGACCTGCATAAACAGGAATGCGTTGAATGGGAGCCTAAATTAAAAGTTGTAGGAGCATGTTGAATCTCTGAGGGAAAGCCCTCCCACATAGTGGCTGCCATAGTATCTTGGTATGAATAGCTAAAAAGTGGAACAAAGAAGCATATGGGACCACCAGAAAGGCGTTTCCAGGTGACCTGATACATGAAATAGGAATGTAAGGTGGAGAGCAATATACTGTACCTCAGGTAACCTGATTCTTGGCTGTAATAGCAGCTTATAATGTTTCAGATAAAACTGTAAGACCATGTTTTCCTAAATACCTACGTCAGAAAAAGCCAGAGATGTTGGCAAGTCTTTGGGTCTGAATCTTTGGTACCAAGTCAGGAATCCCAAGCCTCAAGTAAAAGTCCCTATTAAAAACAAGTCTCCCCCTCCCCACACACACCGCCACCCAGAAAAAAGGGAGAGTTGGGTTGGGTTCCAAGTAGAGTCCAAGTCACTGGGGGGGGGAACTAATTGAGTCCCCATTTCTGGAAAAAGTTAACACATCAAAATAGCTTTCATGCTCTCACTGACATAGGCTGATTTCTGTGACAGCACATACATGTCATGTCTAACTACATCTACTGCATTTATTATTGTTTTGGTTAGGACACCGCTGGACAAGAACGGTACAGAACTATTACTACTGCCTACTACCGAGGAGCAATGGGATTCATTCTTATGTATGATATTACTTGTGAAGAATCTTTTAATGCTGTCCAGGATTGGTAAGAACTGTTCTTCTGATGGTTTGGGGTTTTCTATCAGTAAGGTAGACAGTATATTACAAAAAGATTTGAATCTAATTCCTGGGCCTATTGACACCGAAGCAGCTGCCATGGGGACCTCATCTCAGGAAAATAGGCACAGGGTAGCAACTTTACCATCTCACATACTCCATTACGTCACATCAGGATGAGATTTCCCTCCCTCCACCATCCCCAGAACTATTCTGCAGCCACAATATTGTGTTGATGTCACATTATCAGCCTCAAGTTCATTTCACAGTCAGTGAATAAGATCAGCCTTGTCTAATGTTTATTTATAAGATAACAGATATATTATGCAGGAAGCTTATGTATTATCAGAAGCTATACATCACATCACCTTACTGTCAACATGGCAGCATAGTACAGTATCTAATTGTCAAACTGTGTAACAGGCTTTTCAGCACTATAATTCTGATTTAAAACCTCTAGTTCTGACCCAAACAAACTGACTAGATAGCAAATTCAGAGTGAGAAACCTGGCACATGTTAGTCACAAGGTTTGGAACAAACCAATGCATCATTTGTATTTTAAAATGACTGGTTGCAAAACGTGTCGTTTAGCCTGAAAATTACTAACTAGTGAACAATACACTTCAAAGTTCCTTCAAGGGCCTAAGTAAGGGATCAATAGATAGGTTCAAGTAGTTTGCCTTTTGTCATCAGTATGCTGTATTGATAGAGGATATTGCTTAATCAAAGATGGAAGAAGACACTTTTTAACTACCCATATGATCCTAACATTTTGAAAGCTTTAGTCCCTCAAAGTAACTTTTCCAAGCTCTGTTTCTGGCCTGCTGTCCAGTGTCACAAATGAGTACCTTGAGAGTAGCTGACCAGAATATTACAGACAGCTTGTTGAATTGCTTTTTGTCAAATATCAGGCCAAAAATCAAAATCAAAATTAAAGAAGACAAAAATGCTGTGGAATCTAAAAGAGCAACTGCCATATTTTTATGTGAGCTTTCATGGATCAAGTCATCTTCCTTAAATACTAGTGGTGCCTCGCTTAATGACGTTAATTCGTTCCAGCGAAATCGCTGTAGAGTGAAAACGTCGTCAAACGAAACAAAAAAAACACCCATCGAAACACATTGAAAACCTTTCATTGCGTTCCAATGGGCTGAATACCTGCTCGTCCAGCGAAGATCCTCCATACGGCGGCCATTTTCGGTGCCTGTAAAGCGAGGAATCTGTCCTAGAAAACAGCAGGGGGGCATTTTCTTCAGCCGGTGGCCATTTTGAAACCCGCAATCAGCTGTTAGCTGATCGTAGTAAAGCGAAAATCGGTTCCCGTAGCAGGGAACCGATCATCGCACAGCGAAAAAACTCCATTTAAAATGTCAATATAAAGCAGATTCGTCGTAGAGCGGGGTAATCGTCCAGTGGGGCACGACTGTATAAGAGTGAGATTACCAGGCAGATTTTTATACTTTGATACATGGTGACCCTAAATGATACACAGATGATATCAGGCCCATGGCATTTCATCATGATGTGACTACACAAACTGAATAGAGAAACATTTCTTGCATGCTCACATAGTTCTCAAGATAGAGGTAGCAGAGTTGCTGCTGAAGCATGAAAAATACAATTTCTTATCAGTGTTCTGGGTCTTTTTTGTTTTTGTTGGTGTGTAGTTCTCTCCATTCCCACATTGCGTTGCAGTCATGACCTTGATGTTAATGGCTTCTATTTGCCTTTTTAATGTAATAAGTTGCTGCTGCTGGACCAAAACAACAACTACAAGGGGGTTAAATGAAGTGCTATCAGGACCAGACTGCCCTCCCAAACCTCTGTTTTGCAGTTCTGTTCTTGATGTTACTTCATCTACCATGACCTATCTCCACCTGTTGTAGCCATTGAGAGAATCCTCAAGAGGATTCTCTCAATGGAAATATGCCTATTTCAGCTGCTGAAAATTAGTATGCCATTTTGCTTCACTAATCATAATGTGCCACTATCCATCATGGGATCCATGATCTTCCACAGTTAGCCTGTCATTTTTCTTATTGTGGTTAAAAGGCCAAGGAAAATTATGCATTATATTGCTGCATAAACATTACTGTATTTAGAACCACTTTTGCACCATGCTCCATCATGGTTGAGAAACAGTGCCATCCATGGTGTCAGTAGTGATGTTACTGTGGGCATTCCCCCAATGTGTTGTCTGTCTGCTTCTGTTGTTTTTACTATTTCTGGTCTGTTTGCATGCCTTACTTCCCTATTCCCCTGGTATGGGGGGACATGCATTTCACATTACAATGTCTGACTATGGAACAAAAGAACTAGACCACCAGCATCCATCCCTATAGCCATCTGACTCTGGATGCTCAATTTGGTAGTAACAACAGCAGGAAGGAACAAAGAGATTTTCACGGTGAGTTTAATATCATAGATGATGATGGCTCAATATTATAATTATGTTACAATATTGAATGCCCCCATACAGTATAAGCAACTCATCTGGCCTTGTTTTGTGTCTCCAAAACAGAAGGGCAGTAGTGATGCAAGGTGTCTATGTGACGCTTACTATATTTTTATCTGCATCTTGTGACATGATTTGAGCATGGATATTAAAAAAAAACATCAATTTCTGCTCAAGACAGGGAGGCATGTCTTTCCTGACCAAGCAAAACAAAATACCCATCCACCTCCTGTCATGCTTTTGATATGTTGCAGATGTGAAAATAGGTGGGCAGATAAAGAGAAGGATGAGATGGAGCTGAAAAGGGGAGCATCCTGGTGCAAATTCTCCCCACAGAGGTGCAGATTAGGAAGGTGTTGGAGGAAAAAAAGAAAGAAACAGCCCATGTCTTGTGATGATGCGCAAATAAAAGCAAATCAAAAAAGGCATGCTTTGAGCCAGAGGCATCAAAGAAAACAAAAGCCATAGCAATGCAATCCTAACCATAAATTTACCAGAAAATGTTTGGATTCCTCGTCACTGTGGGGAGAATTTGGGTCTAAATGCCCCCAACCACATGATTGTTCAAGCAATCCAACTAGTCACACCTTGAATAACTACTTTCAAACTAACTAATATTTTTTACAAGCAGTCTGGGAAATGAAGTAAAATGTAGTCCCAGAATGGAACACTTTCAAGTTCTGGAAATGAGTGCAGATTTGCTCATCACAGAGAAGCAGTGCCAAAAAAGTTTACCCACTGAATTCCTGCCAGTCATGGTGCTGCCAATAACATAGGAGCACTGCCAAAAAAGAAAGTGGCAAACCTGTCATGATATAACTCTTCCCAAGAAGTTGACGGACTTTTTCTCCTGCTTGCAATAATTATTTCACACATCAGAGTAACAGGGCTGTGGCTTTCATTAAGTGAGAAATACATTTGGTGCAGCTGGACTGCACTACGTCAATGAGGAAGATGTCATCATTGCCCTTAGAGATGCATGTAGTCAGAGTCAAAACTTTCCCACTAATCAGGATCACTCTGGGTAAGCAGCAGAGCATGGAACCTTATTTCAGCAGTCTATCTGCACAAGCATTGTAGGGCAGACTATATGTGGGTGACTATATGTTCTTCATGTGATAGCTGGGGGCAGATAAAGGGTCTTTGTGCAGCACAAAAGCAAGTTCTCTCCATCAAATATGATGCTCCACAATATATTGGAAGTAATCACATGTAACCATGATTAATTCTGAGTCATTCTTCGACATCACAGTCACTGATTTTCTTTGAGTGGTGCTGTATGTTGTCCTATAAAATAGCTGCCAGTTAGGAGTGCTATTTGGGAGCAATCTCTTCAACGCAGTGCATTCAGTGCAACATGAATATGTGCAAATGTGTATACCCAGAAAGAGAGACAGAGCGAGTTTCTGTATAGGTGGTGTCACTCATATTTTATTGTGCTGTTCTTTTTATTAACATTTAGTAGAATATAACCTATGATGCCCACTGATAAATAATGGACAGTTGCTGTGAAACAAATACCGGTAATTGAGGTGGACAACTTCAGCATCTCCTGCGGACAATTTTACACACATACAGTACATACATGAAACCACAATGGGCCACAGCACTTTCTAAAAAGGAAAAAAATGGAAATGGTCAGGAACCAGGTGGCGTCCGTGGTCCGTTCCGCTTTTTTCCATCTCAGGCGGATAGCCCAGCTGCGGCCCTACCTTGATGTGGGGTCTCTCACCACTCTGGTGCATGCGCTTGTAGTCTCGAGATTAGACCACTGTAATGCGCTCTACGTGGGGCTACCTTTGAGATTGCTGCGGAAACTACAGGTGGTGCAGAATGCGGCGGCCAGACTACTCAGTGGGCTGAGAAGATACCAACATATCTCCCCCACTCTGGCCGCATTGCATTGGCTGCCCATCCGATTCCGCATTGATTTCAAAGTGTTAACGCTTACTTACAAAGCCCTAAACGGTTTAGGACCTCGATACTTGGCGGAACGCCTTCTCCCACCTAGATCTACCCGTGTCACTCGCGCGAGCCAGGAGATAAGGCTGAGGAGCCTAACGCCGAGAGAGGCCCGAAAGGAAAAGACCAGAATCCGGGCCTTCTCGGCGGTGGCTCCTCGCCTTTGGAACAACTTGCCCCCTGAGATTCGCGCGGCTCCCTCGCTGGGCATTTTTAAGAAACAACTAAAAACATTGATGTATAGCCGGGCCTTCCCAACAGAAAACCCTTGACGATCTTTTTTCTTATTCTGTTCTTTTTTTATTATTATTTACGTTTCTGCTGTAAAGTTTTAAAATTACATTGTTGTTTTTACTGTAAGCCGCCTAGAGTGGTCTAATATGATCAGATAGGCGGGATAGAAATAAAATAAATAAATAAATAAATAAATTCACTTTTAGCTTTATAAAAATGTTTTTTGGGGGAAAGTATAGGGGGATGTACCTTGTTTTAAAAGAAGATTGCCACTACTGGAGGCTTCCAGGTGTGCCAATCTTCCTTTACTTTAAAGGTGTTTTTCCCTAGCAGTGTG